TTTGTAGAAACGATGCGACATAAACAAGGTCAATAGAACTAAGCTTAAATCTAATTATTTCATGGGGTCAAAAGCGTTTGTAGCGGCTCATGCTGAAATGGTAAGTTATACCCTTTTTATTCTTTTAACTAATAAAAATTTAGTACTATTTCAATTATTTTCTTATTATACAGGGTGGGACTAAACCTGAAGGAGTAGAGCCTGATAGAATTGAGTTTTACAAGCATACTCATTACACGAGTGAAGACTCTAGAGGCTGAGACTCGTTATGTAAGAAAATTAATATTTATACTTCATATACACATTGCATTTGTCTGATTAATATTCTTCAGAAGTTTTTCCTTCTCCTTTAAATAGTATTCATAATTTTATGTAGAACAACATGATTGATTTGAAAGATATATATACTTCGGGAGAGTCTTCCATGACTATTGATGAAATTGTGGATACTGTTCTTGGTACAAAGTCGGGATATATAAAAGGCCTTGGTTATGGTCCAAAACATAATACTACAAGAGCTACACAAAGGAGAACGGCTGAGTTAGAGGACTCTCTCAAAAAGGTGAAACAAGAAGCTGCTAGTGCCCAACATGACTTACAGAAACGATTAAATGCAGCTGAAACTGAGGTAGAAAATCAACAGTCTCAGATACTAGACCAGCAATCTCAGATTCAAGACCAACAGTCACAAATAAAAGCATTAAATTCTTAGTTGGACACTGTAGTAGCACGCCAAGAAGACATGTTTAGGAAGATACAACTCTTTGCTCGCTCATCGCCATCAAGGTTAGAAGTAATGCAAACTTATATGATATTTTCTATTTGATTTTTTAAAATAAATATATAAATATGTAACATTTAGTTTCTAACTTTCCATATAATTTTTTATGATGCAGCGCTCCATCAGAAGGTAGACTTAAGGTATATTTCTATTTTATTTGCTAACTCAAACTTCATGTTTAATAAGTTGTAGTCTATACAAATTCATTATATCATGATGTACAAGTTAATACCTTACCTAAACAGATCAATATTAAACATGCCCAATACTTTAAATTTCAGTTGCTTCTAATGTTACTGGAAAAAGTGTAGAAAGTGATATAGTACATTATAGAGGGAAGCATTGCTAGTAGCTAGAGATTTAAAAAGGAGATTTCCTTCTTATTACAAAATTTTGTAGCTTTTAAGACCATGTGAGTAGGATATGAACATTATAGAGTTACAATTGCTATTCTTATCAGTCTCTTACTCCTTGCTGAGTTCATTGAGTGATGGTTTGGTATGCTTTTTCTTAATTTTTGATAGCAATATTTGGTAATATGAGGCAACTAGTTTGATAGGTATTCAAGAAAATGAAGTTTGACATAAAGTGGGGGTGTCTCAGTATGTATATGATGTAGTAGCTGTAAACAACTCATATTAGAACAACCAATTCCTTGAAACCAAATATTGCAAGTGTCACAATGGTCCCTTATTTTCAAGCCCCCTTGCAGCTTTGGTCTAACCATATTAGATCATTTAACTAGGAAAAACTTGTGTGCTTTACTGTTACCCTCCAAAGGAAGGTCCTGGAAATTGTTGTTAGAGTTCTTAGTAGTAAAAAATCATTTCCATGATAGTATTCATTAATCTCTTAATTAGAATGTTATTATTGTTATAGTTTATATTACTCCTAGGAGTTGTCTTGGAGGTCTGTTACTTTGTAAAGGTAAAGTTAATTAGTACATTACTAGATGATGTGGTAGTCAACAACTTGAGGAGAGTAGGAGATCAAAAGAAATATAATGTCTATCTTTTTTTGGTAACCATCTAAACATTACCATTACTAAAACGAAAACATACACCTAAAGAGCCCTTGAGCACAACAACTGCATCTCAACCTCTAACAAGACACAAAACTAGTTACACTTTCAGCCTTTGCAGAAAAACACTACATCTGCAAGCTCTCTTTGATGAACTAAGTATGTCTATTCTATGTAAAATCTCCCTCTTAATTTGTGTGTGTATCTCAGCTGTTTGTATATGTACTCTTTTGAAAAAAATTCAGTTCTGGGATCTCCGAGTATGCTAGATCATTGCCCCCCAACTCGCAGCTATCACTTGTTTCTCAGACAGCTTCCATTTCTTCCTTTTAATTTTCAGCATTACTTCCTTCACCTCCCCCAGTTGTATAGGCAAGCATGTCCATTGTTCAACACCCCTGTTGACCTCAGTGATCCATGGGCATTCACTGAACAAGTGTTTGACTGTCTCCAGCTTCTGAGTATCACATAAACAACAATTAACTTCCTCCAATGAGATGTTCATCTTCATCAGCCTTTCCTTAGTTAGCAATCTGTCTTGGACAGCTTACCATAGAATAAATCTATGTTTAAGTTGAGCCACTGCACTCCAAATGCATTCAACAATATGTGAATTGTTGTGGTGCCCTCTAATATCAATATAGCTCCTCGTGATTGAGTATTCACCTCCCTTAGTCAGCCAGTACCTATCTTGCATATACCAACGTCACATTTTTTCTTTCATGGTGTGAATCTTCCTCCAGTACCAACTGCTAGCTACGTAAGCTTTCTAGTTATGCATGATAGAAGGTGATTCTTTTTACTGTTGAATTACAAGTAGTTATAAGCAGATTTACTTAGTAACTTAACTGAGCAAGAGATTAACTAATGAGTTTAGTTGCTTAAATACTTCATATAGTTTGTAAAGAGGTTGGGGTCTTAGTCTTAGACTAAAAATAGGAAATTTTATTGAAGCAAATGCTTTGCAGGAACATATATAGGGCTGAGTAACTTGGTACAAAGAATGCAAAAAAAATTGATTACTTATATCATAATAGAACTATTGTGCTTGGTAAGTAGGATAAACCATGAGGGCAAAGCCTCACTTGTACTAATTGTTAACTAAAACAAAATGAAGTCCATTTGGATAAACTAATGAATCAAAAGTAACATCAACCCCCACCCACGTAGCATAAATCTTATTATTATTATTACTTATTATAGTTTACAATCAATCATATTGGTCCTAGAAGAAAAGTAGTTGTCGTATCTGAAAATGAGACTGAATAGAACTCTTCCCAGATGGAAGAAATTGAATTGTAATACCATGGACCATCTATCCAATAATCTTATAAAACTGCACATTACAACATATGAAAGAGGAATTGTGTTGTATATTTTACTTTTAAACTTAGCATACAGACTTTAAATTAAATCTTAATTTTGTTTATTTCTTTTTTCACAGGTATAAAAGGGGAGAATTGAATCAAAATCAATTGCAAGCTATGTGTCACCACATTATTGCTACTTTGGAAGAAACTTTTAATTATTTGTCTAAGTTTAGGATAATATTTAGTATATTTCAATTAGATTTTCTTGTTATTGGACATATATTACTTTTATTTAAGGAGTTTATAATGAGATATTATCTCAATATAATTTTCGTTGTTTTTAATTATATGATCATGGCTGAATTTTTATTATTATCTAGCATGTTTTATGTTTAATTTTAATTTAGGCAACTCCAATTTAATAAATAATACCAATACAAAATATTAAATGTCATTATTTATTTGTAATTAGTGACAAAATTTTTTTATCATCAAAAGTAATTTTTAGCAACGACTATATTAAACTTTTCAAGATAAATGTTTTTCGTCACGAAATAAATTAGTTCATTACAAGTTGACTAAATTTAGTGACAATTTAAATGTATTGTCCTAGTACCTCTTTTTTATTGAATACGAATTATTTTTTTATGTTGTGACAATTGTAATTGTCACTAATCGTGATAATGAATAATGACAATATATATTGTCAGTAAAAATAATACTTTTAGTGACAAAATGATAGATTTTAACCACAAAATTATTAAGTTTTTTATAACAATAAATTTGTCCCTAATTTATACATTTAAGGACAAAATATTTTTTTGTATATAAAAAGTAGTCATTAGTGACGAAACTACATTTGTTCAACTATGAAATACATATAACTTTAGAGACAATTAATGTCGTCAGTAATTGAACTAAATAATTAGTGACGACATCATTTTGTCGATAGTAATACCATTTTTAGTGACAAAACATACTATTAAGTACAAAAAAATTAAACTTTTTATGACAAATAAATTCGTCACAAATATTAATGCATTTGGAGACGATTTTTATTTTTGTAGTTAATATAATACTATTAGTGACGAAGCACTAAATCGTCTTTGTATACTTTTAGCGACGCACGTTTAGTGACGACTGTTTGACGAATTTTTTTTCGTCTCACAAGATTTTAAGTGACGAAATTTGATTTATAAATGACGAAATTATTCGTCCCTGATAATCAAATTTGTTGTAGTGATGGTACAACATTTCGCCTCACGTTGCCAAGGCCACACTATACTTTGTCGAGGTATAACATGAGATTGTGACTATGGGTCCATCTAATTTGACTTCTCAGAGGCAGTGAGGAGTCGCATGGAGAGTCAATTCTATCCTATCTAACGCTGGCTAGGTAGTTCTATGGGACTTCCAAATCATAAGAGACTCTAACCCAACTCGGTGCTCGATACTACTCCCAAAATAATAGATATAACATTATTCTCAATTCACCCATTACAAGGAATGGACTTCTTACTTGATTGAAATACTTTTCTAACATTAGATGTGTTTACATTTTTGAAAAGATGTACTTGTGAACTTATCTTTCAAGTTCAATATTCAACATAGATACATAAGTACACATTTAGTTATATAAATAGCATTTGAAAACTCTTAAGCGTTCATGAAATAAAACCTTTGAATTCCCTCTTAACTTTATCTTGACTTGAAAATATGAGTTTAACAATGATGATCAGAAGATGCATAAGATCCTTCAATGATTAATGGAGCTTTAGATAGTTTACAATAAGAAGAGAATGACAACTCAGATCAATGGAACAAGTACGGAACGAGAATAGGGAAAGAACTATGTAGTGGGGTCTGATTGAGAATCCTACTGGCGCATAGCGCCAGGCCCCATTTATTGGGGGTCTAATTGGGAATCCTACTGGCGCGTCACGCCAGGCCCCCATTTACTGGGGATCTGATTGGGTATCTTACTGGCGTGTCACACCAGCCCCCAGGCACCTTGGGGGTGCGATGCCCCATCCCAAACCCAGAATTTTGACGAGTTTTTCTTGTTCAATTCATGGCCTAGATCACTTGGAATCGAATGATTCATTTTCAAACTCATTTAGATTCATAAACCCAACAAATTCATCGAAAACTCCTTCAATTCACACCAAGAACATCACTCATTTGCGAAATCCTCACTTTAACAATCCAACATGACTTTATTGATAAAGAACGAAGTAAAACCTTATGAATTTCTCAAGAACCTATACATAACGATTTCATGAATGATTTACTGAAATAAATAAATGTTTGGCGTGAGGATGAACATATCCATAACTATGAGAAACCTCACGTACCTCTTAGGGATCAAACCCTTGGCAAAAAAATCCTCGAATCACAATAAAACTTGATGAACGCCTTGAACCTTCCCTCTTTTCTCCTCTTTTGTCTTCTTGAAAACTCTTCTAAAATCCTAAGCGTAATTTGGATTTCTAAAACTGACCCAAATCAGATTTGACCCCAAAATAATACTAAAAATCGTTTTAATCTGATTGAGTAAGGAAAAGACCAAAATACCCCTCACATTTTTGGGTAACTTTGCTTAATTGGTCAGTCTAACTTCAAACGGGCATATCACCCTCATACAAGCTAGGAAATTAGCAAACTCGGCGACGTTCAAAAGAGGATTTCAAGACCTTTCATTTGATATCTTATGGGACACCTAACTCATTCTGTACTAAAATTGAAAGTCATTTGAAGTTGACCCAAAACTCACAACTTAAGTATAACTTGTAAACATTTTAGATTTGGCTCTTTCCAAATTAGTTCTTTCTAAATTTAGCTCTTTCAAATACCGATGTGTTACAATATCTCCCCCTTGAGAACATTCGTCCTCGAATAAGATTACTCTAAGTAGACTAAGGGTGGTAGCATCTAACACACAACTCAAACACCCGATATGCAAAGTAACACAACATTCCAACTAAAAGAAAATACCAAGAAAAGGATTAGTACCTTGATTTGGATTTTCTCCGGACTCAATGAGATGTGGGTATCTCTTCTTCATATCCACCTCAGCCTCCCAAGAAGCATCCTTGACAAACTAATTCCTCCATAAGACCTTGACTGAGGCTACCTCCTTGGTCCTCAACTTGCGAACCTGACGATCCAGAATCTAAACGGGAATCTCCTCATAAGATAAGCTATCCTTAATATTAAGGTCTTCAGTCGATATAATAAGTGAAGGATCGCCCATACACTTCTTTAACATTGAAATGTAAAACACCGAATGGACTGCTGCTAATTCTGACGATAGCTCCAACTCATAGGCTACATTGTCAATCCTCTTGGATATCCTATAAGGGCCAATATACCGAGGATTGAGCTTCCCCTTCTTGCCAAACCGCATAACACCCTCCATGGGTAAAACCTTCAAATAAACCCAATCATCCAACTCAAACACCAAGCATCTTCTCCTAACATCAACGACTTTGCATTGTTTTCAACCTCTCTTGAATAATATTCACCTTCTCCATAGCTTGATGAACCAAGTCTGGTCCTATCAACCCAACCTCACCAACCACAAACCACCCAATAGGAGATCTACAACTTCTCTCATAAAGAGCCTCATAGGGAGCCATCTGGATGCTAGAGTGATAACTGTTGTTGTAAGCAAACTCAATGAGAGGTAAGTGATCATCCCAATTACCTTTGAAATTGATCACACACGCCCTCAAAATAGCCTCTAAAGTCTGAATAATATGCTATGCTTGACCATCCGTATGAGGATGAAAAACAGTACTCAAATTTACCTTCGAACCCAAACCTTTCTGGAAATACTACCAAAATTGTGCAGTGAATTGCGCACCTCTATCAGAACTCCATGAAGTCTGACTACCTCTTGAATATATAACTTAGCATAATCTTCTGCTCATTTGGTAGTATTTACCAGTAAGAAATGGGTTGATTTAGTCATTCGATCTACAATCACCTAAATAGAATTATGCTGCCTACGAGACCGTGGTAACCTAGTAATGAAATCCATATTGATCATCTCCCTCTTCCATTCAGGAAGATATATGTTCTTAGCCATATCACTAAGTCTCTGGTGCTCTACCTTGAGTTGTTCACAATTGGGCACTTAGCAAGGAACTCTGAAATACACTTCTTCATGTTACTCCACCAATAGACTTCTCTCAAATCACGATACATCTTTGTGGGGAGTATTTACTTCCGTAAGGTGTCTAGGTCATCATTCGAGGACAAATGTTCCTAAGGGGGAGATATTGTAACACTCTAGAAACTAGTAGGCTAAACTAGAGCTTAACATGAGGGTTAGAGTCGTAAACAAAACTGCCCATACTTAAAAATAAAGGGTTTTGTGTGGGAATATCAAGGCATGACTCCCAAGGACCAACCATGGGTCATTGAGGAGGACCCCAAAAATCTACCTAGACAGTGACCAACGGAGGTGACCTATGCCTCGTGGGTAAGTCCATGATCGTGGGTAAGGGGGCCATAGGTCAAGCCCTAAAAACCAGGTCTCTGAACCTAGACCACGCTTCACCATCATGGGCCATGGGTCCAACCACGGTCATTCGGTGAGGGGCGTGGGTGAGACCTGGAAACTGCTTTTTGGCAGTTAAGTTAGGGACACTTTGGGATTTTCTGATTTTAGTTAATAATAAGTGACCTCGTTTTATACTAATTTAGACTAACTTCGTAATGATTTAAGACCCCTAAATTAAGCCATCTTCCTCATAATTCCAAAATCCCAAATCAAAACCAACTGTTCCCCAAATATTCTCTCTCTAGAACTTCAAGTAAGAAGTTGAAGTGTAACAACTCTAAAAAATGAACTAGTGAAACTAGAGCGTGACATGTATTCATCTGTGTTCTTTAATTTGAATGGTGTTTTATATTGTCCCGAGTCATGGTTGATCAACTTAGAGGTTAGACGTCAAGACACGACTATGACGACCGAAAACTAGTAAGTTGAACTAGTGAGTTGTAGTGTCTTGTAAAGGAGTTTTGGGAGTGTTGTATGAGGGTTAAATCTTGTAAAAATGGTTCTCGTACTTAGAACAACATGTTTAGGGGCTAAACGTCCGGGTACGACTCCCCAAGGACCACCCAAGGGGTCCTTGAGGAGGACCCTAACACTACCAAAAAGCTGTCAAAAAACTGCTTTATCTACGCCACCTATCCACACCCCAAAGACCAATCTACGCCCCGTAGATCATGGGCATGGGTCAGGACATAGCCTAGGGAGGCTTGGATTCCATTTTGAGCCTCTGATACAAACGACGTACCAGCAGCACACCCCGTCAACCCATCCACGGTCCGTGGA